AGGCCGAGGCGGCGGAAAGAGCGCACTAGGAACTCGAGCACCGCCCCATGGCCGCAGGCCGCCGCCCACATCACCGGGCTGTTGCCCGCGGAGTCGGCCGCCTCGGGGTCGCCGCTGAACTGCACCAGCAGCTGCACTGCGTCCAGGTGGCCACGCTCGCACGCCAGGCTCAGCGCCGTGCGGCCGCGCTCGTCCCGCAGGTTCACCGCCGCACCCTGCTCCAGCAGTAGTCGCACGAAGCGCGCGCGCAGCGCAGGGTCCGGCAGCCCCACGGCCACCATGAGCGGCGTGCGGCCCTGCTCCGCGCGACAGTCGATGATGCTTCGGTCCAGCGCATCCAGCACGAAGCGGGCCAGGTGCACTTTGCCCGCCTGCATGGCCTCCAGGAAGGTGCGGGTACCCGCTCGGGGGCACAGGTCCTTGGGTTTGAGCATGGCACCGGCCGCCGCGCCCAGACGGCCCGGCCGCTCCGCACGGGGGCGCCCCTGTTCCCGTGCCCCGCCGGGCTCTGGCCTCCGCCCGGGCTCTGGCGTGGCTCCCTCTCCGCGTGGGCGACTGCGGCCGAGGGTCCTGCGCTTCCCACTCCCGTGCCCCCACGGTTCCCGCTGCCCTGCCGCAACTGGGTCGCGCTCCTGGCGTCTCGCTGCTCTTTCCCTGGGCTTCCCGCCTGCCTGGAGGTGTAGGCTGCTTGCTCCTCCGCGCTCCCCGCCTGGCCCACCACGAGACGATTGACCCCAAGCTCTGCCCCCTCCTGACCCTTCCCGCTGTTTTCCCCGTGTCCGGCGACCCTCAGTCCCTCTGGCCTGGAGCCACGCCACTCACCCGCACCCCGGGCAGCCCCCGCTCCCTTGCTGAGACAGCGGCGCCTGCCTGGTGCGCCTGCCTCTAGCCCCGGCGGGGCGCGCCGCTCCTCGAGCTGCCAGCGCCGCTCCTCCGCCTCCTCCCCTCTCGCGGGGGCCGGGCCACGCCAGGGCGCTTGCTCCTTACTTGGGGGCTCAGCGGCACCGGAGCCACCGCCCACCTGGATACCTGGTTTTTAGCCGCCGGGGGTCTCCCTGGCAATGGCTGCCCCGGGAGCGGGCTGAGCCGTCCAGGCAGAAAAGGACTGAGCGGGGGACACCGCCCCCGACCCCACACCTTCGTGGGCCTCGATGTGGGGGAGCGTCTCCTCCTCCTTGATCCCCTGGGGCTAGAGCGGCGGTTGCGGGACAGTGGCGGGGGCTGCTCGCTGTGGGCCACATGCACCCGGTCGGGCCAATCCAAAAGTCACAGTCTTTATTCCCCGCCTCCTGCCCGGAGTCGGTGCCCTGGGCCCCTTAGAAACTAGCGGGACCTCGGGCCCGTCGGGGAAGACCAGAGGCTGACCCTAGCGGCCCGGGTGGAAGAAAATGGTACCCCATGAGAGCAGAACTGGACCCTACGCGAGCTAGGGTGGCTGCGAATGGCGGGCTGGGAGTAATTTGGAGGAAGGAGTAGCTGCGCTGCTCGCGGGCTGGGGGCGCTCAGTCTGGCTGGGAACTGCCACTCGAGGTGTAGCGAACCACGCACTCACAATTGTTCCTCCCGCACAGGCTCACTCGGAGTGGGGGTGGGAGGAGAGCGCGCTCGCCAATCTCAGACGTCTCCAACCCCTACAACGTGCCCGCCTGCCAGCTCTCGGCGGCTGAGACGCAGGCGGAGTGGGCGCCTTAGGATCCTGGAGCGCTGCAGCCGCGGCAGCAACTCCCCGACGCCGCCTCCTCGCTGCCTCGGGACCAGCAGCCATCCCGGAAGAGCAAAGATTGAGGGACACNGCAGCCCCCGCTCCCTTGCTGAGACAGCGGCGCCTGCCTGGTGCGCCTGCCTCTAGCCCCGGCGGGGCGCGCCGCTCCTCGAGCTGCCAGCGCCGCTCCTCCGCCTCCTCCCCTCTCGCGGGGGCCGGGCCACGCCAGGGCGCTTGCTCCTTACTTGGGGGCTCAGCGGCACCGGAGCCACCGCCCACCTGGATACCTGGTTTTTAGCCGCCGGGGGTCTCCCTGGCAATGGCTGCCCCGGGAGCGGGCTGAGCCGTCCAGGCAGAAAAGGACTGAGCGGGGGACACCGCCCCCGACCCCACACCTTCGTGGGCCTCGATGTGGGGGAGCGTCTCCTCCTCCTTGATCCCCTGGGGCTAGAGCGGCGGTTGCGGGACAGTGGCGGGGGCTGCTCGCTGTGGGCCACATGCACCCGGTCGGGCCAATCCAAAAGTCACAGTCTTTATTCCCCGCCTCCTGCCCGGAGTCGGTGCCCTGGGCCCCTTAGAAACTAGCGGGACCTCGGGCCCGTCGGGGAAGACCAGAGGCTGACCCTAGCGGCCCGGGTGGAAGAAAATGGTACCCCATGAGAGCAGAACTGGACCCTACGCGAGCTAGGGTGGCTGCGAATGGCGGGCTGGGAGTAATTTGGAGGAAGGAGTAGCTGCGCTGCTCGCGGGCTGGGGGCGCTCAGTCTGGCTGGGAACTGCCACTCGAGGTGTAGCGAACCACGCACTCACAATTGTTCCTCCCGCACAGGCTCACTCGGAGTGGGGGTGGGAGGAGAGCGCGCTCGCCAATCTCAGACGTCTCCAACCCCTACAACGTGCCCGCCTGCCAGCTCTCGGCGGCTGAGACGCAGGCGGAGTGGGCGCCTTAGGATCCTGGAGCGCTGCAGCCGCGGCAGCAACTCCCCGACGCCGCCTCCTCGCTGCCTCGGGACCAGCAGCCATCCCGGAAGAGCAAAGATTGAGGGACACGCGCAAGCTCCCCCACCCCCATTCGCCATCTCCCTCTTGAGCACAAAACCACCCCTAGACCACAAGGCTCTGACCTTGTCCACGCCCTGACCCCTCTGGATACGGGGAGGAGAGCTGGAGTCAATGGGGTGTGGGAAAACCACCGCATTGAGTCTCTGGCGGGCTGCTCCAGGGGTGGCCCTGGGGGGCAGGGAGGCGCAGGCCTCGGGTGAGCAGAGTCAGGGCACCTCAGAGCCAAAGGGATGGGGGAGGGTTGGAATGGATCTTTGTAAAGTAAAATATGAATCAGGTGTCAACTACAGAATTTACTGAGACTTTTCGTGAGCCAAGCATTGTGTTTCCAGCTGTGGGAAATACAGAAGCAGAAGTTCAGTTCTGGATAGAAAAGACCTCCCCTCTCAAATGGGAAGACAGGACCAGCACATAAAAAGTGGAGGTTATCACCTGAGAGCTGAATACATCTGTTAAATACAAACCGAGACAGTCCTTAGAGGGAAAGTTGGAGCTATGGGGAGGAGAGGGCTCTGAAATCTTCTAAGGTTAGAGCTTCTGAGGTGGTCTTCAAGGAAGAGTGGGATGGGATCTGGCTGCTAAGAAACAAGGAGGACATTCCAGAGGGGGTCACTGAGGCAAGGGCAGGAAGGCAAGGAAAAACACCTTGAAGGGACAGTGTTGGGGACTGCTTTAAAGGGTCCCTTCCTATGAACAACTGGAAATCAAGGGGAGAGGAAAAGTGTCCTCAGCCTGGGCAGAGCAGTGACAAGAAGCTTTGTAGGAGGAGCTGACTGGGGAAAAGTATGGGGTGAGCAGAGGATTTGCCTCTAGGAAGAAGCTGGTGGGTGAGTGGCAAAGCGGACACATGGCCTTGCACCCTGAACTTCTTGCCTCTCTCTAGCTCCCAAACCCCAGGGATGCCCACCTGGCATGGAGCCCAGCCATGGAGCAGGTGCTCCCAGGCCGCTGTGTCCAGAGGGGGCATGTGAAGTATCTCTGCACACACTGTGAAGCCCCTTTTTCTTTTTGTATTTTTCCATCCCTCTGCTCAGGGTTCTGCCAGTTTTCTCTCATGGTGTCACAGAAAGGGCACAGTATTCGACATCAGAATTAAGTCCCAGCTTGAAGACATTAACTAGCAGTCTGCCTCCAGGCCTGCATATCACCACCTGCAAAATGAAGCCGATAATACTACCCTGCCTGCTTCACGCAAGATCTTGCTAGAGAGTGTCAGGAAAAGAACTACACAATTATTCAGCATGCAAAAAGCCCAATCCCGCCCCCAGACCTGGGGGCCCCTCTTGGGTGTCACCCAGGGGTGGGTATAGACTCTCCAACCCCCATAAGGACTAGAAAGGGAATGCTACTCAGACAGCAGAAGACAGGCTTTTCTTCCCTTCGTGACTCAACATCCCTTTTCTCCACCATGAAGGAAATTGTTTTCTTCCCATCTTTCTCTGTTTTCAGGGTCAGGGGAGAGGGTATCCCTGGAATCCGTGTGCAGCAGGCCATCCTACACCCAGGCAGTGACGCCCCCCCAGACGGAGGAGAGAAGCAGCAGAAACACCGACTGGGCACCTGGTTGGTCCTAAACAGCCATACGCCCTGTCCTCTGAGCCTCCCTGAGACAACTCTGCCTCATTTATGTCCCTGTTGCCTGTGGAGTGCGGACGATGGAGACAGTTCTGTGGAAGAAGAGGAGCTGAGGTAGGTCCCCTTCAGGGCCTCTCCCTGGCCTGTGAGAGAGCCCCATGCTGGCTGCTCTTTGGAAGGAGTAGCCTGCTCCATTTCCCCCAGCTGGCCTTGCCAATCAGGCCAGATCTGTGTTGGGATGGGGGGGGGAGGGGTAGGGCTCAGACCCTGGAGCCTTTACTCTGACTTCCCTGTGGGCTCAATATGTTCTGAACAGAAAAGAAATAGCAAAGCTGGAAGAAAAAAAAGAAAAAAAAGCTGAGACTTTGCTGCAGAGGCACAGAGGCACCAATAGCTCGAATTAGAAGCTGTCGCTTAGGGAGCTGAAGGCTGACAGGAGGTAGAGCCGAGGCAGGCAGGGGGCAGGCAGGCACTCCACTCTCCCCTC